ATAATCGGGAATTGATAATAGACTGCTTATTATTGTTTTCAATTAATTCATTAATTTTATTCTGAACTGTAACAAAATCATCATGGTCCGGATATAAATACTCGTAGAGCATTTCCCCTTATTGAATTGTTTGTTTCTTTGGTAATTACACTGTCCTTTCCGTATGTCATTATGGTTTTGTTTATTAGTAAGGTCATTTTTTTATTGACTTCGTTATAGTACTCAGTAATTGTCATTCGTCCTTGCCTGAGGATACTTAGTTCTGACTCGAGAACATGTATTGGTCGTTTGTCACTATATATAAAGTCCAATCGGGATAAGATTGCTTTAAAGTTTAAAACTGTGCCATGATTGGTAAGAGCATCATGGGCAGCTCCCATAATTTTATTTCGTAAAATTGTTAGAGCGATAAAATATTGTTCACTTTCAATTTTATAGAGACTCATTGCAGTTTCTGCAGCTTCCCTCCAACCTACATATTGTGTTGCTTCTCCTGTGAAATTTGGTAAGGATTTTACCACTTCAAGTGTTGTATCGCATTTTATAGCTGGGTCAATTGTTTGTACTTTATAATCTTCCACAGTGTTTGCATCTGTGGCTAGCCTTCCTTCTAAACATTCTACTTTCCTGCTAACTTCATTCAATTGAGCGTTTATTAATCTGTTTATCAATTCTACTGTTAAACTGCCGGCTGTGGCTACACTGCCTGCAGAAAAATTTGGTGCTGAACCTCCGGTTGCCATTGTTAGATTTAGTTCACAAAAGCTATTTATCAAATCTTCCAGAATTATTCTTTATATTTTTTTGTTAAATCGCGAATCTTACTTTTTGCAATATATAAATCTTATATTATTTTTCTCGAATTTACAGGTCTTAAATTTTAGTCTTTAATTTTTTTATTTTAAATTAATTCCTCACGATATTGTCCCGTTGGGGTCTTCCTTCTGTGTGGTTGGTGGTTGATAGAGAATGTCCTGTCTTCCTTCCTTGGGTTTTTTTGTTGGAGCGAGTTGTCGTTTTTATTTGAGAATGTCCTGCCTTCCTTTCCTGGTTTTTCTTGTTGGAGTTGTCGTTTTATTTGTTTTTGTTGTTCTTGTTTGTTTTTTTTTGTGCGTTGATTTTTTTTTTAGTTTTTGTGTTCTTGTAATTGTTTGGTTTAAAATTTCGGTCCACCTTTGTTTTAATTCACTCTTTATGGATTATTTCATTAATTAATTTCCATTTACTTTATTGTTAACTATCACTGTCACTTGGTAGTGTCGTTTGGTGGATGTTTTAATTTTTCCACTAAAAATGTTGAGTTGTTGACCGCGCGAGTTCCGTTTATGTTTAACTTATTTTTCATTAAACTATTTTTTGGAGCTTTATGTGACGCGGCCCCTTGAGTTGGGCGCCAGTTAAATTGTTTGTAGTTCGGTGAATTAAAAAAATGAAAATTTTATTTTTTAATTTCACAACTTGGTGTTAAACCTTTATTTATTAAACGCAAAATTACAAGACACTTTTGGTTTTTTTCTTAAATACTTTTGTCAACCGTTCGCGGTCTCGGTCAAAATAGGACTGCCTTCTTAATTCTAAATCTGATCCAAAGAACCTCGGCCATCAGTTGTGTTTAGATTAGAGGCTTAAGATGAAACTGTCGCATCTTATTGTGAAATTCGATTAAGCTGATCGATGCAATTTGGTGGGTACTTGAAACGCAAAAGGCGTAATTGATTGGGCTTCGGAGGGAAGCTGATGTTTACTTTTGATTTTGATTTGTTTATGGGGAACCGAGATCGCGCCTCAGAGCCAAAGACAAAGCCGAAGGCAAATGCAGAGTTTGAAAATATTGTTTATAAAATTCATAAGTGGAAAGCCATAAGTGGCCTGGATTTATGGGTTGGATAATTGAGCCAAAGATCAAGCCAAAGGCAAATGCAGAGATTGAAAATATTGTTTATAAAAGCCATATGTGGCCTGTATTTAGGGGTTGGACAACTTGTACATACTTTGGATGTGCATTGAACACATCAAACATTTCTATCACACGTATCATAACAGAATCACTTGAGTAAACAACAGATGATTGAAATCAAACAATTATACTCGAGTAAAAATGCCTTGAATTCTGACTTAACAACAGTTCAACGAAATGAATCGTTAGCAGCAATCGCATCAAACGATTTGATCGAAGCCTGTTTCGCCCATAGCTTGTACTTCATTCAAATAGGTTCATGTAAAATTAAATCACCTGAGTGAACCGTCGTGGAACTCGCTGTAAAAATGAAAACATTTGAGAGCGGGTTCCACGACAAACGGCTGGCAGATGAGAGGGGGAAAGAGAGAATTTCATTTTTAGATCGTAACATCTTTGGAACGATGAAAGTTTGAAACTTTCAAAACGAACCAATGCACTATAGGGTTTTTGACCTGTTTTTGTGACATTAATTAATACCTCGGTCAGTTTTGGAGATATCGACATGAAACTTTACCAATCGTTATTTGATCCTAAGCACATATAGTATGAAAATCGTTCGGATCAGGAAACTATATCCTATAGCTCCCATAGGAACGATTTGGTAAAAGTAAAGATAAATTAATGAAATTTAAGGAGCTGATATTTGTTGCTATTTTAATAGGATATAGCATTTTTGAACCAAATCGGATAACGCTTTCCCTGAGAACTATCAGTTTAAAATACCGGATTTCAGTGTTCTTCCATACAAATGCATATAAAAGTTGAAAAAGAAAAATTCCTTCATACAGTAGTATTAATCTTATTATTCTTTTTTTCATTTTCTATAATATATCAATATTATCTAAAAAAACAAGCTGGAATTGTTAAATTCGTCATCTTCGAGACAAACATTATTTTCGTATTCGTACGAAAGCATCTCAATTACCTCAATTGGAAGTAAAAGACTCTTTAGTTTTTTATGCATCTCGATAAATTAAGGACGAAATAATTGGATCTGATGTATCCATAGCTTGGTTGTGCTTTCTTGAATGATGACGCCTGTCTGATTTATACAGCTTTTTTCAGGACTCAGACGCTTCTTCTCCAAAATAGCCGACTGGAAGAACCGTATTTTCCATTACTTTCATTTAAAACTGGTGGCTTTTTTTTCTAAACGGCATTATCCACATTGTTATTTGTATGGCGTTCAAAAAAACATTGTACAGCCATTTGTTGCTCAGCCCGGCCCCTTTCGCTGTTCCAAGCAGCGACCAAATCGGCTTTGGAGAAAGTGAGGTTATCTGAGAAAAATTCAAATTGCACCAATAGTGGAGAAAAGTGCACAATAAGACTAACAGCCTTTGTTTAGTATTGACAACGCTACAACATACGCTTGAACGCATTGAAAACTTTCTATTCCTTCAAAACTCTTCCCAAAGTTGAAATTTGTTTCCCAAAATAGACACGCACAATTTAAATAGTTAATACATTTAACATGTAGTACAAACCTGTGAAATCAGTGTCCATTACTATTTTTCTTTTTAAATTGATTTTTAAAAAAATAATCTAATTTTACAAATCACTATGCGAAAATTGCAAACTAAGCGCACGTGCTTTCGGATGCAACAGCTGCTAATAACAGCTGGTGCTAATAATTAATATTTTGAGTATGAGGCATAATAGTTTGATGTTTTTTTAATACATTCCCATTAATTTTTTTTTAAATCAGAGAACTTTCAAAAAATGATTAAATGCCACATAAAGTGGTCAAAAACGCCATAGTGCAATGCGAGAGTAAAGAGATCAGAAATATCTTTTACTATCCTTACTCTTCAGCTCTGTTTTTGGTATGGATTCTAGCGCTAACTTTAAAACCAATTTTAAGTATCATTAGATCAACTTCGAGGGTAGCCCAGATGGATAGTGCGCGCTCCTTATTCTTGTGGTCCGTCCTGGGTTCAATTTCATCAGCGGGCGGGTTATTTCAATTTTGATAGTTTTAGTTTTATGATTATTTTTATAATTACTTTTATTTTTTTTATTAATATTTTTTTTTTACTTTTCATATTTACTTTTCATATTTAAAAATAAGCGACGGACGTGTCGGATGACAAAATGCCGGACGCATTCCATTGAAATTTTATTAGCCGGATATAATAAAAAACTAAACTATTTTACCATTGTAAAATTAAAGAAAAATATTACAATTAAAGAAAAATATAAAAAAAAAAAATAATTATTATAAAAGAAAGAAAAAGTTCAAAATCCTTACGAGGATTTGAAGACAGAAAAATTATACATAGAGTAACTACTCTATGCTCTACGCTACCACGCTGCCTTAAACTGCAGCGATTAAAAATACTATTTTTTCTACTAACTACCACATCGGCGCATTGAAAACAGAAACTAGAAATTGATATTGAAATTTGGAAGCCAAAACATTTTTACACCGTCGTGCGAGCAGTCACACATACATACAAAGGCTCACATTTTTCTTGACGGATACATGTAGAGTTCTAAAAAATAGAATCGTATGCATGTGCGTTCCCCCCTCACCAACAAGCTCGACGAAAAAAGTTGACCGTTTTGGGCCCTGATGTCCCATTTATGTACTTTATAATCTTTGGTTCTATCTTCAAAAATACCAAAGTTGATACTTTGACCAAATACCATTTCCAATCTTTCAGTTGTATAGAAACTTAAGGGTATAGTCGGCCGATCCCGGCCGTTCCGACTTATATACTGCGTGCAAAGGAAAATTTGAAAACTCGATAGACTATTTCGCGTAGAAACTGACAGACAGATAGACGGGTATGCTTATATCAACTCATCCTCATGGGGATCCTGAAGAAGAATATACATACATACTTAATAAATCTAAAGGTTCCCTTGGGTTAATTAAAAGGTGGTCCTAAGAATTTAACGATTCCTATATTACTAAAAGTTTATTTATTTCTTGGGTCCGTCCGATACTGGATTACGGAATGTTGAAAGTTTTTTTTTCTGAACAAAATTATTCTTTTTAAAAATTATTTTATTTTTATATATTTTATTGATGTTTGCCTTTGGCAATGCTATACTTTCTCTTCGACAGGTTTGTGGATCTTATTGTCGGATTTGGTTTCATCGCCGGTATTAGTCTGTCGTCGCAGATCTCTCATGATCTTCACCGCAAGGTCTGGAAGTAGGCACGCCACCGAACAAATAATCGTGTACAGCCAAAGGGGTAGGGATGCCAGGAACTGATTATAGACGTCAAAAAGCTCCCCGCCTTTGTACAAGTTATATAGAAACGTAGTGATCATGTACGCTGCGATTGAAACGAATATCAGAACAATGTTTATGTAAGTCATATACCGGGCTATTAGTAGGAGTTTAAGGTTTCCCACTATCACAATTATAGTAATTAGCATAGTGCCAAAGGTCTGAAAGCTGGCAGTCTGTCCTACCGTGTGTACCACATTTTCATTATTAAGTACAGCGTAGGCGAAATAAAATATTATAAAACAATGCACGAATCCATTAAGCATCCACAATCCAAATACGCCCATTGATGCATGCTTGTTGTGCGCCAACTTTTGGTATAACTCGGGATGCCTGAAGTTAAGAAGATGTGAAATGTCAAACAGGCGTGGTACCGGTTTTTATTACAACATGACAAATTCTTACCTAAGCAGCGTTTCTTCATTATAATTCTTATCAGTTAGGGCGAGGTATGTGAAACTAAAGGAGATGTAGACGATGTCGAAAAGCCAAAGGTAAAGCGAGTTGTAGACGTTGGTGGCCGAGAAGAGATCATAAACCTGAAAGAGTGCCATGCAGCCAGTGATGATGATGTTCTTATAGCAATAAAAGAGCACCATAAGGGCAAGACGCTGTGAATTATAGTGCCCGTGGACTAAAAGTAAACGGCGCAGCATTTCAAAACGGACTACAGAAAAATCGGCACATCGGGCCGCCTGCTTGCCTTCACGACCGGCGATTCCTATACCGATGTGCGCCTCTTGGATCATAGATATGTCATTGGCCCCGTCCCCAATGGCCGCGGTAATGTGCTTCTTTCGTCGCTTGATTAATGATACAATCTCGCTTTTCTGAAGTGGACTTAATCGACAGCATAGAACGGCCCGACAGCGAAGGGCGAGGTCAGAAAACTGTTGGGGCAAGTGCTTTAGAAGGGCAGCAATTGTGGTGCCGTCGATCACCAATACCTCCGGGTCAGTAGTTTCAATTTCTCGCAAGCGACTGAGCAATTCTTTTTTTTTTGTTTGTTGGATGATGAAGTGAGGCCTTGCACCTTGTGGAATATGGTGACAAGCTAGGCTGATGTTAACAGCTGTCTCTATCTTGTCTCCGGTGAGAACCCAAATCTTTAGCCCAGCTCTCTGCAGGGCTTCGAGCGTCTCATTAACGTCATCTTGCAAAGCGTCCTCCAAAGCGGTACAACCGAGAAGATCCATTCCTGAGATAGTCTTTTCTTTAGTATTATATGAGCACAGTAGAATCAGGGGCCACTCACCAACTTCCACAGTTTCGTAACACTTTGATATAAGATCCTTTCGGTTGCTAAGCTGAGTGTTCGCGTGTTTATACTGAGCCTCAAATTTAGAAAAATCTTCTTCTGTAAGTGTGCGCCTAGCAACCGCAAGAGTGCGCAAACCTTCCTTAGCGTACTTTGTCACCTGATCATTTGTCTGATCCAGTTGGAGACTTGGATTGCATCTCGGAAAAATTACGTTCTCGGCACCCTTACTATAAAGCCAGATAGTGCCGGCCTCATCTCTAACTATTATGCTCATCCGCTTCCGTTCAGAGCTAAATTCTAGGACGTGAAGTCGCTCAAAGCGGAGCTCCTCTTTCACACCCCAAGAGTTATTAATATAAAGAAAATTTCTTTTCTGCCCCACAAAAGAAATTCCTAAACGTGCACAACCTTCCAGCAGTGCTTTCTCATCCGGACTAGAAGCCTGGTATTTTTCCACGATCCCATCGTTCATCAGCAGACTTTGCTCTGATACCGAAGAATTTACTCCCAAACCCTTATGTACTTCCACGGTGTGGCACACGGTTAACGCCTTGAAGAAGGTATGTTCCAAGTCCTTAATTGGAAAGAAATAAAAAAAATTAAAACAAGAAGAGAAAAAGCTTCGCAAAGTCTACCCCAAAACTGGTCAAATCCAAATGCTCTCCAGTTTCAGGCAACAAAAGCTTGGCGCCTTCTAGGTGGAAACTTCTCTCAGATACGTAGCACTTAACGAATTTCATCAGGTTCTTGGTGAGTGTTCCTGTTTTATCAGAGAAAAGGATGTTCACTTGGCCAAGCTCTTCATTTAAGTTGGAAGAATTGACCTCACAGGGTTGGTCGCTCTTCTCATCATAAAGGTGGAGATCGTGGTGCATAAAATAGCTACCAAAAACCCGATAAACTTCGATATTCATGTACGCAGAAATCGGTACCATGTAGTTAAAAAGAAGTAGGAATGAAAGGAAATCCTCGAAGATTTGCCAAGCGGAATTGAAGTCCGTGGGGGGTCCTAAGTGGGGCATGGCTGGTACAATTTTGGACTCTTTGTTTCTGTTGAAAAACAATTTTTTTTATTTTGTTAATAAGGGGTTAACAAATAAACTAGATTACCTTTGGATGAGATACAGAACCAACACCACCAAAATCATCCCCACGATGAGCACCACCATGAATTTGTTGATGTATCTCTCGCTGGAAGCTGACTTGTTGCCAGTGTACCGGCTGTTCAGTTGCAATTTAGTGTGCATTCCCGTGTAAATGGCACATCCTATTACCCGATCTGTTCCTTGGACACGGACGCCGCGTAGCAGAAGGTTGTCGATGGTCAGGGGTAAGACGCCATTGTCGTTGACGTTTCCGGCTTCGCTGCACGGGTCCATTTCTATACGGCCATTAAAACTGTAAAGGTCAGGGGATGATTTTTCGCACACAATGGTCTCCTTTCTCGAAGGGTTCCCAGAGAAAAGCTCATAGTTCGCTGGAGCGAATATCGTCTTCACATTCGTCTCGCCGTCCAGGTTTGCTGTGATCACAAAGCATTTGTTTTCTAGTCCCGAAGATTGAAGCAGGACTAGGTCGCACGGTACGTCATTATCACTCGTCACTATCACAAGATCGCCGGGCATAATAAACTCAGAACTAATTACTTGTTCATTGCCATTCCGAATAACAGTAACTGGGAAGAGATTAACAAAAAATGTATATATTTGATTTATGTTACCTTTGCATATTTTAATTCGTTCGTGTTCACACGCTTTAATTAACTTAAAATATGCCAAAGCTGCGTTATTGCCGATCTTTCAGTTAGGGCATCTATAGCATATAGTCAGCCGATCCTTATGAAATGTCGGTATTTTAGAAATGGCTTGTGTAATTGGAAATGGCTTGTGTATCAATTAGTGCATCAGCTAGCATTCCTGCATTTATAAAGCTTAGAGGCTCAGACGTGCTGTGCATATGTCGAACTGCAATGCTAAAGTATAGAGGACTAAAGTTTCTAGTCCTTCTTTTAGAAATATTAAAATTTAAGCGTGTTAGTAAATGCTGGGTATCTAAATTCCCATTGATTAGGTTATGTAGAAAAACTACACCCAGCATTATTCTACGATTAGTTAAGCTTGGTAAGTTTATTAGAAAGAATCTGCTACTTTAAGATGGAAGATGAAGATTTTCAACCCAGTTAAGACCTCTAAGTGAGAATCCTAATAAATTCTTTTGTACGGATTCTATGCGGTCCTGATGTACTTCAGGCACATGAACCATACTCCAGTATCGGACGGACCAAAGAAATAGCAGCTTTATTAACCATTATGGAAATATGGTCGGCAAATTTAAGTTTAATGTCTGATAGGACGCCGAGATCATAAACCTGAGTTAATTTTTTTAAGGCGATCCCATAGAGAGAATATGAAGTCTGGAAGAATATGAAGAATATGAAAAACGATAAAAAGACATAAGCTTGCATTTTGATCCATTAAGTATTAAATCGTTAGCTAAACACCGTTTTTGAAAGTTGACAAGGTCAGACTGAAGACTGCATTGGGCAGAGATGGATCAAAAGTTAAAAAGCATAAGTTCGTATGTCTTTTCATTTTCCAGCAATCCATTCTCAAAGTTTGCTTAATTTTCGGAAAAATCCAAAAGAACCTCCTCTTAAGCTTTGTCTTCAATCTTGTATTGATTTTTTTTTTGGATTGCGGGAAAATGAAAAGACATACGAACTTATGCTTTTGAACTTTTGATTCGTTGTTTATTAACGATTAAAAAAATATTCAATATTCAGGAAATTCAAAATGGCGGCTTCAAAATGGCGGATCTCGTAGACCTCTATTTTTCTGCTTTGTCGAGTGTAGGGCCGCTGGTAGTGAACTTAAATTAGAAATGTATATAATTTATTAAAATTGATGGAATTTCCTATGCCTTATACCTAACGACAATTAATTTTGGTAAAAATAAACCAATTTCATGGACGTTTAAAAAAAAAATTGACATTTTTTCTCTTTTTTTTTACTTTGATCTCGTTTAAAAATTATAAATAAACCATTTTTAGGTATAAGGCATACAAAAAAGTATGTACTTTTAAACATTTTTTGAATAAAGGAAATCGGATCAATAGAACGAGCCCTGTACGCGACAAGAGGTTTCAAAAAATGGTTCCGCGAAAAACGCGTTTAAAGTTTTTAGAAACTTTGCCTTTAGATAGCTTTCTTGTTATAATGGGTATTTTTGAAAGGCTCTAGCTCAAGAAATACGCGTCGCATCGAAATATCCCTTGGCACGTATATTCTACACATATTTAACTTTCATTTTATTAAAAAAAAAAAACATTTTTTCAAAAAAATCCAAAAGAACCTCCCCTTAACATCTTAAATAAATAAATAAACATAATCTACATACATAAGAACAAGAGAGTTCGTTACAGCAGGGGTCATTAATTGTAACGGGCCAAAATGACTTCCTTAAGGGACGCCACATATAACTTTATTTTAGATATAGCTATCTGTTACATATATCATATATCTATAATAAAGTTATAAAGTTATCTGTCACATATATCTGTTTATTTTTAAGTAAGACTCTTGGTGTTCTTCCATCTAAGTAGCTGGAGACCCACGCTAGGAGGTCTGTAGAAAATCCCACAAGATTTAGCTTACTCCACAGTAGTCAGTGATTGACTGCATCAAATGCTTTACTAAAGTCTGTGTTAATAACATCAGTTTTAAATCTCTTTCGAAAGCCATCTATGACAAAGGATGTCAACTCCAGTAAATTAGTGGTGGTAAAGCGATGCTTAATGAAGGCATGATGGCATGGAGAGATGATCGAAGAGCAAAGGTTTTGCCAATTAGGTGTAACTAATTTTTTTAATAACTTGATCCTGATCAAGAATATGCATATGTATGTATATACTACAGTGGTCGGCACCCAATACATTGATATGATTTTAACGCATTATTATTTTTAACGAATAGCAGAAAGTAGGCTGTGAGGCTGTAGACACATTTATACTGTGTGTGTGTGGCAGAGCTCAGGCAGAGAAATTTCCTATGCCCGGGGGATAGGGCCGTGCCGACCACTGATATACTATAGTCCGTCTGCAAGGGTATAAAAACACGTACTAACACTTTTTTTTCATTTTCACGAAAGGTTAATCTCATTGCTCTTAATAAGCCCTATAATTGGGGACCATATTAAATTTGGGAATCTTTTTGTTTTCTAGATATTCAAGCAAAACTACTCTTTCAGAAGTTACTTTTTTCAAACCAGTTTAAACATAGATTTTGGCAAAACACGAATGAAAATTTTTTAGGAACCAATTTCAAAACGTCATCTATTAATATTTCTTAAAAACTGTTTTTGTTTCATTAAAAATATGAAGTAGTTGTTTTTTTACTTTTTTTATAGCCGGCACTCGTAGAGTTATCTCTTACCCCATAAAATATAAATATTCTTGATCAGCATTAACAGCCGAGTCGATATAGCCATGTCCGTCTCTCCGTCTGTATGGACGCGTGGATCCCAGAGACTATCAGAGATAGAACTATAGGATTTGGCATGGAGACCACAATGCCCCCGCAGTTCAAGTTTGTTTTAAAAATGTTGGCCCTCCCGCCCCACCGTGCGTGAAATGGTAGAGGAGGAGAAGAGGATGTTGTAGCCCCATTCTAAATTTTTTTGGATGCTTTTTAAAGGAGTCTGCTTCCTTACTGAATCGGTAGTATGGCCATAGGGGGTAGGGAGCTGTCGTTGTTTTTTTTTTGCCCAAGCGCAAAAGTATGCAAAAAAAATGGTTACCGTTAAAGTTTAAAGTTTAAACTTTAAAGTAAAAGTATGAATAGTGAAATTGTGGGTGGAAGAGATGAGTACCGGGTGCAATACAGTCCGGGAACTCGACTATAGCCGTCCTGTCTTGTTATATCTGTCACACGTGACATGTCGCATGCGACATTTTCTGCCATCATTGTTTTTATGTTTTTATACCCTTGCAGAGGGTAATATAATTTTGGCCAAAAACGTGTAACACAGTGATAGAATATATATTCTTGATCTGGATTACCTCCTGGATATGCCTATATCAACTGTCTGTTTCTACGCAAACTTGTCTCTCAGTTTTAAAGCTATTGTCTGATAAAGCTAATATACTGTGGAAAAAGGAAAGGAGGGAGTATTCAAAGTTTCAAGTGGATAGCTTAAAATCTGAGAGTTCACTTAGAAACAGACAGAGAGACGGACCAAATGTGGGATCAAAATAATGGACAGATGGACAAACTAGCCAATTTTTTCTTCGGGAAGAACGAACGTTTGAACGAATCGGAGGGGGATAAAAGGGAACGCGCATTCACAACACAAAATGTTTTTTCTGGAGACTCCAATGTCCACATTTTAGCGAACCAATATTTTTTAACTTTTACCTAAATTTCACAAAACGACTGTTTTCAAATGTTTTTTATTAAAAATATCTATAATAAACAATCAGGCTCCGGTTTTCACTTTCGGTTTTCGTTTTCGTTTTGGGACCAAAACCGAGATTTTCGTTTTTATACCCTTGCAGAGGGTATTATAATTTTGTCCAAAAGTGTGCAACGCAGTGAAGAAGACATCTCCGACCCTATAAAGTATATATATTCTTGATCAGGATCACCTCCTGAGTTGGTATGAGCATGTCCGTCTGTCCGTCTGTCCGTCTGTCTGTTTCTACGCGAACTAGTCTCTCAGTTTTAAAGCTATCGACTTGAAACTTTGCACACACCCTTCTTTCCTTTGCACGCAGTATATAAGTCGGAACGACCGGGATCGGCCGACTATATCCTATAGCTGCCATATAACTGATTGATCGGAAATGGTATAACTTTGGTGTTTTTAGAGTTAGAGAGTTCAAATTTGACACGAGAGCTATTTTTGGCAAACCATTACGACATGCCAAATTTCATTAGGATCGGCCGACTATATCCTATAGCTGCCATATAACTGAACGATCGGAAATGACCCAACTTTCGTGTTTTTGAAGATAGAAAGCTGGAATTTAATACAGATTCTATTTTTGGGCAGTTGACCCAACCTACCAAATTTCATTAGGATCGGCCGACTATATCCCATAGCTGCCATATAACTGAACGATCGGAAATGGTATTTGGTAGAAATATCAACTTTCGTATTTTTGAAGATAGAAGTTTGGGACTTTTTTTAGATTTTGTATTGTAATAAATTGGATTGTATTTTCCTATTTCCATAAGGATCGGCCAACTATATCCGATGTTTGCGATATATATCCGGTTTTAACTGCAAGGGTATATAAACTTCGGCTCCGCCCGAAGTTAGCTTTCCTTTCTTGTTAGTTATCGTTTTGCTATCGAAACGTTACATTTCTCACCATTTTTGCTGCCGAAACAGCTGATTTGAGGTTTGGTCAGCCTTTTTTTTTCAAAACGAAAACGAAAACCGAAAGTGAAAACCGGAGCATGCCTGAATACCTTTTATATCATAAATCACCCATTCAGATCATTAGGAATTTTTAATTAATTAATTTTTTTTAAGCTGTTACAAATATTTCAAACATGGTTTTGTGTTATATTCGATCAGATAAACAATTCCTTATATGACACTTAAAAAGTTCAGAATCACTGTTGCACTGTGTTATTGATCAAAAGCACGTCCTGAGTCGATGTAAACATGTCCTGTTTCTACGCCGACTAGACTCTCAGTTTTTAAGGCAATGGACTTCAATCTTGGCATAAATTCATCTTTGAACGCAGTATATAATTCGAAGCGGTCGGAATCGGACTACTTTATACTACAGCTGCCATAAAACTGATTGATCGGAAATGCCATAACTTTGGTGTTTTTAAAAATAGAAGGTTGCGACTTTCTGCAGAAAATATAAAGACTATAGCTGCCATAGAACTAAGCAATCGAATAAAAAGACAACTTTGGTGTTTTTAAGATTAAAGCTTCAGATTTTTTCAAAATGTGTAATAGCGGAATGAGAACGAGTTTTTTCTATAGGCTGGTCACCGACTTAAAAAATGACTTGTTTGAGAAAATTGATTTTCTAAGTTAAAGGTACGGTTATTCGATCTACTGTAACTTCGTTAAGTTTCCTCTGAATGACCTGAAACTTAAATAAAATATTCTTTAGATATTGTACTTTCAGAAACAAACAAAAAAATTTTTAAAAGTTTTCAAACCTCACTTTTTCCGTAAGAGAAGTTTTCAATAAAATTAAAACTATTAGAAAGCTTTTTTCAAGAGCAACCACTTGTTTACCTTTGGCTGAATTGAACATTTTGTCACTTCTGGCTCTGGAAAGGTCCTCTAAACCCTCTTTTAGCGCTGTAAGGACCATAACAAACAGCAAGGGCAGAAGCGAGACGAGCGGAGATATAGTGTCATCTGATTGAAAGATCAGGTATTAAGTTGGTTGTTTAAAAATTTTTCCGATCTGAAATCACTTACTTACGAAGAACGATATGATGGTTATGATTAAAAAGTAAAAGTAAACGGCGCGCCGAAACTGATCGTAAAAATTAATGGGCAGGAAAGTTAACCAATTATACTTAGTGGTAGTCACTCGGTTTCGGGGTTGCCTTTTGGATGGGATACCACCGATTTTTATGCGCAAGGGATCGCCAGGGAGTTTCTGTTTGGCTCCCATAATTATCCAAATTCAATAGAACTAGGCCGTTTGTTTTATATTTTTTATGACATGTAGAGTTATGTTCACTCGTGGTAGTCTTAAGGTGGAATTATGACTGAATTTTTGCTACCTTTCCAATTGCCTAAAATAGTCCACTCAAGTGTCAGTTTCCGATAAGAATGCAAACTTTATTCGCGTTTATACACGCGCGTAAGTGGGCTGTCACACGGTATCCGCTTCAAAGATGCGATATGTTTTTATTGTAATTAACCACAAAATAAACACATATTATAATTCATATTTTCGTCAAATTTTCGATGACAGATAATAATGTGGATTAGGCAAGGCTGTTATTTGCTAGGACCAAGCGCCTCTGACTAATATTAAACTTTGAAAGTCGTAACAATTCATCACAAAGTAGACTTTTAGTTCTATCAAAGATTATAAAGTTCATTATAATTTTTGATTCTATCTACACGCAAAAACAGACATTTACACATATATACCTTTAGGTAGGTACATGGTTCATGCCATTTAAAATTCCTATACACAATCCTTTTAATATCAGTGGACAACCTAATCAGAAGCCTAATCAGTTTGGTAATGGCTTTGTGATTATCGCAATGGCAAGTGGTAATTTGTTCACATACATACTCTTTTCTTTAGGGTTTTCCAATCTCTAGCAGTCGAAATCACCTACGCCAGGGACCTACCACTTTTTTTAGATGTATACTTTGGCATGCTATAAAGTGCGTTAAATTACACAAGAATAAATTTAAAAAATATTTTCAAATAGTTTTTGATGCCTATAAAAACATATTTGAAAATTGAAACAATCGCATTATTTTTTGTTACAAAAAATTTTTGTTTAAATAACCTTTAAAAGTAGGCCGGAACATGAGACTACACCCTTAAGGCTCTATTTCAATAATAAATTTATTTTGTAAAGAACCAGAAAGGAAAACTAACTTTATGCGGAGCTGAAGTTGATATACCCTTGCAGATAAGATCCGACATGTATCGCAAATATCGGTTATAGTTGGCCGATTTTTTGAGAATTTCATAATATATTCAATATATACTATATGAAAATATATTCATATTAGAATTTCATAATATTATTTCGGCCGATCCCGGACGACCATATCCTATACGTAACAGATTGATGTAACTGATTGATCAGAAATGCCATTTCAGTTTTGGAAAACTGGCCCGATTTACCCAATATAATAAGGATTGGAACTATATCTTATAGCTATCATTTAACTTGACTATCTGAAATTAACCAACTTTGGCATTTTTTAAGATAAAAGCTTGTAGTAATGTGTAGTTTTATATAGCTTTATTGAATTTTTTCGTCACAAAAATGGATATCAGATATTTTGGGAGTGGCTTGCGGGCTCGTCACCATTATTTTACCTCGTCAAGAGGTGCTTTTTATTTGTTGCATTGTATATATACATACAAATATATGTATATTATAATCTTATAATAAAAACATATAATATAAAATATACGAATACTTTTAGTATTTAGAGACGTTATATTCAATACCTTTGGATTTAGACTTCTTCAAATAAGTGACTCTGGCATTTGTTTATAAAGTTTAGTGTCGAAATATGAACACTAAATTTCGAGATCAAAGAGTCGGTTCAAGCCATTAAATTTATCCAACGGTCAATATCTTCTCTCTACCTTCTATCTTCGATCTAATCTAGATAACAACCATGTCGCATATGAGGCAAGAGATTTGGCCAAGATAACCCATTGTTCTAGAATCTAGAGTAAGGAATATGGGCACAACCCAACTTGCGTACGCATACTGGGATTCGTAGGTAACAATAGGTGTGACATATGTGTGTGCAAGTGTGATTCAATGCTGCCCGATAAGATATTGTTATCGACTTTATCTCTTCGGCTAATGACAAATCGCGAGCCGCCTGGCGCTGCTAAGAGACTTAGGACCGGCCGGGCTCTATGCCGATGGTGGCTCTGGATATGGCTCTACGGCAAGAGTTTAGATGCCATTGTCTCTATCAGAAGTCAGCTGCGGATGTGCCTCCCGACGGGAAAAGTATCCAAATTCCTTAAGTGCGCAATGCGCCTTTTTTCGTCTGCATTTGGCTATGTCTACAAAGCATTAAGTTCCTGGCTGGACTGTCGGCCATGGGCGTGGTGGGGTGAGGGAAGAGGGTAGGTATATTAGCGGGTGTATAGGCAAAAAACATGGGCGCGAATATGTATGCGGGGCTTTGTTAGTAGTAACGCTATCAACAATTCTTTGACAGTTTGCCGATAGATCAGTTTGCGCGTGGAAGGCTCCCATTTCATTGCAAAGCTTAAAATTATTTTAATTTACAACAATCAGTTTGTTCCGTTTACTACTAAGCAATATAAACATTTGATTTTGTATCGAGAAACTCGAGTTTCTGTTATTGAGTAATACTGTTTATTAGGACGTTGTCATTAAACACATCCATTCGAAAAAAAAATGGTATGTCATCGATTTCCCAAAAATTACCCTACAAGTAAATCAAATTCATCAAAGCATTTTAATAAGTACCATAATCCAGATTATAATAATCCGTACACAATCTAGTGTAAAAATAGTGACGCTAAAAAACTACCAATATAATTAAATTTTTGCTGTGTTTTTTCCAAATCAAAATTTAAAAATTTTGGTTTGTGCCATTTATACTTTTGCAAAGGCTATTATAATTTTGGTCAAAAGTGTGCAACGCAGTGAAGGAGACACTTCTGACCATATAAAGTATATATATTCTTGATCAGGACTGTTTCTACGACGATTTATATCCTACCTTAACTGCAAGGGTATATAAATTTCGGCTCCGCCCGAAGTTAGTTTTCTCTCTTTTTTTATATTTTCAAAATCTAGGTTTTTAATTTTAATTTTTAATGCAGTTTTGAATAATGGATATTAACTTAGCGAGCTTTTTGTGAAATCAAAATCTTGAACGTTTTTGATTATCTTAACCGTAAAGTAATTTGGAGATATCCTTTTGTCAGGGGTTAAAGGGGGTAAATTGCGAATGTATGTATGTACATATGTACATACATATATTTAAATCAATGATTTTCGGCTAAAAATTGTAATTTCCGATTACATTTTGAGGACAAGAACAGTTTGGAACTAAGTAGTATATGGTACCTAATCTTACCTAAATTTGAAAAACGAGAGAAATTGGTAAAATTAAGAGTGAAGACAGCTGTATCAACAACAACGTAAGCCCTTCCTTTCTTGCACAGGGGTTGCCGCATACGTTTCAACTCCTGATAATGGTCTCAACTTTTGAAATTGTCATTCAGATGTTTGGGTTCCTGATAGTAATGATTAGTCAGTTCTGGAGCTCGAACCCATAGATATTTCCTTAATCTTATCACCTTTTTGTTCGTGTGTTTGTGCGGTAAAATAAATGTGAGAAGAGAGGCGAAAGAGAGCCGCTTTAAGAGCGTCTGAGCATGTCTGGAAACCAGTCTGTAAAGAACCTTCTTACTGCTGAGGGTCTCATTTTAACTTAAAACTCAAATTCCAATTCGGACAAACCTGATAATGCCTGGGGTAATTTCTTTTCTTCTCTTGTTGGCAATAAGAGTGTGCGGGCTTCGACCAACGACGATCCTTTGCACGGCCGGTCGATACGTGGAAACTACGAATAAGAGAGTGTCGAGCCTAGTCGGTTATTGGTTTTCAAAAGCTATTCCCGATAAGCAATACCACCAATTCGAGGTAACAAATTATTTTGGAGAGATACTGAAGTCGGTCAGTTGTAGTTATGCTTTTGTTTCGCGTCGGTTCCTCATTTTTTCTATACCTAAATCAAAATAATTTTAAAAGTGAAAAGCGTCCATAATGGTTAAATCCATCGAAAGAATTCTCCGAAAGAGGGTGAGTATCAGCCATCTTTCAGTAATACGTCAATCTGTGCTAAAAAACAGTCGGTTTTTTGGTGTTAGGTCATAGAAAAACAAGAAAGGAAAGCTAACTTCGGGCGGAGCCGAAGTTTACATACCCTTGCAGTTAAAACCGGATATATATCGCAAACATCGGATATAGTTGGCTGATCCTTATGATTACATCATAATAAAACTAATTAACTAAAATAAAAAATCTAAAAAAAGTCCCAAACTTCTATCTTCAAAAATACGAAAGTTGATATTTCTACCAAGTACCATTTCCGATCGTTCAGTTATATGGCAGCTAAAGGATATAGTCGGCCGATCCTAATGAAATTTGGTAGGTTGGATCAACTGGCCAAAAATAGAATCTGTATTAAGTTTCAGCTTTTTATCTTCAAAAACACGAAAGTTGGGTCATTTCCGATCGTTCAGTTATATGGCAGCTATAAGATATAGTCGGCCGATCCTTATGAAATTTGTCATGTCGTAATGGTTTGCCAAAAATAGCTCTCGTGTCAAATTTGATCTCTCTAACTTTAAAAACACCGAAGTTATACTATTTCCGATCAATAAGTTATATGGCAGCTATAGGATATAGTCGGCCGATCCGGGCCGTTCCGACTTATATACTGCGTGTGTGCAAAGTTTCAAGTCGATAGCTTTAAAACTGAGAGACTAGTTTGCGTAGAAACAGACAGACGGACAGACAGACAGACGGACAGACGGACCGACGGACAGACGGACATGCTCATATCAACTCAGGAGGTGATCCTGATCAAGAATATATATACTTTATAGGGTCGGAGATGTCTCCTTCACTGCGTTGCACACTTTTGGACAAAATTATAATACCCTCTGCAAGGGTATAAAAAACGTACCTATGTGTTTACACAAATACACATGTGACACATTTTTTATCCCTCTACTAATACATAATTTTGTGATAACGCTTTATTAGGATCGCCGATGTTGGAAAGTTCATGGAACATTATTATACTCTACTATTATTCGTTCATGCTAAAGAACAAAATATATATATGTACATGTCTTAGCAAAAATTCACATATAACATAAAAACATGCAAAATAATGATATTATTTTATTATAAAGCTTTGTAAATGACCCATGAGATAACGTTACTTTACTATATGTATATGTATATGTATATGTATATGTGTATGTATATGTATATGTATATGTATATGTATATGTATATGTATATGTATATGTATATGTATATGTATATGTATATGTATATGTATATGTATATGTATATGTATATGTATATGTATATGTATATGTATATGTATATGTATATGTATATGTATATGTATATGTATATGTATATGTATATGTATATGTATATG